TTTTGGCCAGACAGAAACATTCCCCAATCCCAAGAATGCCCAGGAACCAACAGACCTAGGTGGTTCCTAAGCTTATTTCCTGTGTTCAGACTCTGGAGTAGGATCCCAGCTTGGCCCTGCTACAGAGACTGGAAGGTAGGAAAGGTGAGAAATTCCCTACAATGTTTCCAAGTCTTCTATTTACTGGATAGACAACAAACCAATAACTGTTTGGAGGAGCTAGCCCGCTGGCAGTGATTTTCCAAGAATTTCCAAATAAATGTGCATGGCTTAAGGGAGGGAAGTACCAGGAATGGAGTAAGAAGGGAGCAAAGTAAAAAATGATTTATTGGTGCCCTTTGCAAATTAAGGTTGGAGTAGACGGCACAGCTAAAATGCATCTTGCTACTGCAGTAGAGAAATTATCCAAAAGTGGTGTCAAAATGAAAGGATGGTAATTTCACCTGAGAAGCCAACTCTAGGCAAAGGGTATCAGTGCTGAGACATTGCCCCAGCCACCCTCCAGGTTAGCCCTTATGTTTGTTCCACCAGGACTGTGTGTGCACATGTGTGTGTATGTGTGTGGGAGGAAGAGGGAGAGGGAGAGGGAGAGGGAGAGGGAGGTCACCCTATTAGAGGAGAAGTTAGGGGTTGAGGAAGGCCTCTGTTCTCTCTGATTTATTTTAGAGGAGGAAGTCACCATCTGCAATATATAAAATAATACACAGAAAAAACAGGAAGTCAAACTTTTGAAAAAGTAGAGATAGGCAATGATGAATGAAAGAAACTGGCATAGAAGTGAAAGACAAAAGGAAAATTTGTGCTTTCTTAGAGATACACAGTTGACCTGAGCCTCAGTCCTGTTAAAGGTTAATGCTTCTTCCTTACTTGAAGGCAATGCAGGGGTCTCTGCCTGCCAAAACAGCATGGTGTCTCCTCCTGGCCACCAGAGGGTCAAAATGCAACCTAACTGTAGGTCTGTAATTAGAAGGAAGAGACCATATTACAAAGGAACTACAGGTCTCAGACAACATGTACCATCCAGGGGGGGTTAGTAAACTCTAAATGGGAATGAATCCTCCGAGTGCCACATCAAGGGGAATGGAATATAAATTTGAATAAGGGAGAGATCATTGCTATGAAAGCACTCTCTTTCATGCAGGATTGATTAACCCTGGCGAGCACCCATGCAGATGCTGTTAACATGCTACGAGAAAGGCTGTTGGAAACAAGGGAAGAGTAATGGCCCACAATAAATAAAATAGAAAAGCCAGACCACCACGCTATGTTATGGGAAAAGAAACCAAAAGGCTCAAAGAGGTGGGCATGAGGTGGGACATACAATGGAAGCTGGAAAACCTACCAATAGGTTGTTCTGCAGGAGGCCAGGAGAACACTGCAGAGCGGTGAGCAATGTGCTGGGGAGAGCAGTAGCAGCAGCGTGAAGCCCAGTGGTGACTGTCCTCCGTAGGCTGGGCTGACCATAGCAGATGCAGTTACAGAACTGGGTTCCCTGAGAGCAGTGGAGGTGAAAGGAAATAATAAACATAACGGAGACCAAATGGCAGCACTTAACTGTCAGAAACAAGATGAATGCAATGATTGTACTGAGCAGCAAAATTGAAATGGCAGCCCAGTTGCCTGACATTCAGGGAGCTACAGAACATGACATCCCTAAGGGTAAGATAGATGGGCAGTCAATAAGAATATTTCTCAATCTGTATAGTCAAAGGAAACCAAGACTGGATAATCTGGAGGCTAGGGGCAACCACCCAATAAAAGTTGTGATCTCTTGCCCAGTTTCCAGAACTAAACCACTTTTTAGATCTTCCACCTTTTGACTGAAAGAAAGGACAAATACCCAGAAGGAAAGACCTTGCCTGGCCGGCGTGACTCAGCAGTTGAACGGCAACCTATGAACCAGGGGGTCACGTTCACTTCCCCCTCAAGGCACATGCCCGGGTTGCAGACTTGATCCCCAGTAGGGAGCGTGCAGGAGGCAGCCAATCAATGCCTCTCATCATTGATGTTTCTATCTCTCTCTCCCTCTCTCTGAAATCAATAAAAACATATTTTAAAAATAAGAAAAAGAAAAGACCTTGCAATTTCACAACGAATGTGTAAGGTAATGATTGCCTCAGTCTTCTCTAAAAAGCCCTATGGCCACTTACTCAAATCACCACAAACTGAGGAAAGGGAGATGTCCCAACACTTCAAAAACTTGTAGATACGGAGTCCAAGATAACATGGATATCTGGGGAAATGAAACACATCATGCGTCCCCTGTTAGAGGGAGGACCTATGGGGCCAGGTAATAAGAGGCATGAAAAGGGCTGATCACAAGTCAGTTGCATGAGCTGGTGATCCGAATCCCATGTCATTCTCTTCTGTTGTACCACCTACAGTTCAGTTGATAGAGGAGGGAAAAAGCCAAGCTTTGTTCACAGAGGGGCCTGCTTAATGTATGGATGCAAATCAGAAATGGACCTTATAGAGTTCTCAGTCCCACCCAGGAGTGATCTTGAGGGATAGCTGTGAGGAGAAAGCCTGTAAATGGGCTTCAGGTGATATACCAGGCCACCACTTTGTGAAATCCATACAGACTTACGGACAGTGGTAAATGACTTGGTTGGTTGGTTAGTGACCTGAAAGGAAAAAGATTAAAAGATGAGAGACAAGATCTGAGAAAGAGGAATATGGAACTCTGCATGAAGTGAGAAAATCTTTGCATACATGCAAATGCCCACTGAGGAGCACTCACCATGGAAAAAGCACTTTATAGTCAAGTAAACCGAATGACTTGGCCAGCTGGTGTCAGACAGCCTCTCTCATTAGCCACCAGTGCTCGTACAATGGGCATATGAACAGAGTAATAACCATGGTGGCAGGGATAGAGGCTCTGCATGAGTCCAGCTTATAAAAAAACTGGCCTACCTGCTGCTGCTGAGTGGTCAGACTACCAGGAACAGGGATTATTGCCAAGCATTCTTCAAAGAGGCCAACAGCTACTTTGTGGTGCCCTGATTACACTGACCCCTTTCTCTATGCAAGGGCCAGCAATCCATCTTGAATGAACCAACACACGCTCAGGGGATGGGTTTCCCTTTGCTGCCCATAGATCCTCATCTAGCATCACTACGTGAGGACTTACCTCATGTTTAATTTAATAGCAAAGAATCCCACATGACATCACATCATTCCAAAGAACTCACTTTAAATGAAGGAAGAACAGTAGTGAGCACATGACACTTACCATCTCACCCAATGATCTACGCAGGGATTTCACGCCTTCTATCCCTGGGCTCTGTGAATCTAGAGATTCTGTTACCAAGAATAGAAATACTTTCACCAGGAGTACTGACAAAAAAATCTCATTAAACTTAAAGCTATGGCTGCTACCCAGGCACTTTGGACTTCTTATGCCAAGAGATCAACAGGCAAGGAAAGGCATCTCCATCCTTTCAGGGGCAGTTGACCCTGGTCATGAGAAGAAGGTTAGGTTGTTATTACACCATGGGGACAGAGAAGACCGTTTGACACTCAAAAGGTCCTCAGGGGCATCTCTTGGTAATCCCATAACTAACTGTAATGGTAAATGGATAATAATAGCAGTCATAGATTGANGATAATAATAGCAGTCATGGATTGAGAAGAGTATGATAGCCAAGAGCTCAGATTCTTCAATGATGAGAATCTGGGTCACCCACTAGGTAAGCTCCCTGGGCCAGAAGAACTGCTAGCCAAGGGGGAGAGGAATCTATAATGGGTTGCAGGGGAAGGAATTGATGAGTGTCCCTGAGAACAGCTGCATCAATGAGAACTATAGTTTGTCACATTAAACTTGCTGTTGTACATTTTCCTAGGAAAAGAGGCTGACCAGAATTTTAGAGGATCTGTTCCCAAGTAGGATAAATTTTTCATAAGAAATAAGTTGGTCCTAGAGATATAAGAGGTGACTTCAATGGATGTTGTGATACAACACCAGATTATCCCCTTAAGTGCTGGGAACTCACTCCCCCAACTTCCAAGACTGTTAGCTGCTGACAGCTAGCAGCTGAATCCTTCTCCAGGAATTGCCCTTGGCTAAGGTAGAAGTCTCCCCAAAGGTCGTGCCTGCTCACCGAAAACAACCTGCAGCCAGTGAGTGGTCAATGTAAGGGCACAAAGGCTCAGCTCCTTTGCCTCAGTCTGGGACCAGTCCAAAGGGACCTCCAAACTCCAGCGCTCTCTAGGATACGCTGGGCCCTTGTTGCAATACATCATGGTTCAACTTCTTCCTCTGCTCAATCTTTTCCCTCACTCTCTCACGGGGGCTGAGGGCACTCCTGAGTAAACGTCCTACACACAAATTTCTGTTGCAGTCTATTTCTTTGCATCATGATCTGAAACACAATATACATAAAAACCCCAAAAAACATTCATGCACATTGACCCAGCTGTCACACCTAAGATAGTCTAAGAAAATAATGAGAGATGGGATCAGATTTTTAGTTTACTGTTATGACACTATAATTTTAATATATAAATAATCTAAATGTTCAACAAGAGAGGAAGAAGTAAAATAATAATATAGACTTCTTTAAAGCCATTACAATTCAGTTTTTGAAGAATATATAGTGATATAGAAAAGCATTTACAATATAATTTAAGTGATAGCAGGATACAAAACTATAAATTATTCACGAACATATTACTTAAAGTTCTGTCATGTGTAAGAGAAATTAGATGGCTCAATGGTAAATACAAGAAGAAAATCCAAGAAAGCCGTCAAATTTTGTTAAATTGAGTAAAATTTTACCTCAGAGCCAGACCAATTTTTAGATAAAATAAAAGTTTCTCAGTGCTGGATATTTTAAGAAATATCATAATGACCACTTGGCAAACTTGATGGGGAGTGGGATTTAGTATTAATTTTAGTTGTTTTTTAAGGTACCTTTTGGCCTTCTGGAATTCCATCCCACGGTGGACAAGTGTCTCAGAGACGTGGCTTCCATCTACTTCCCTGTGCTTTCCCTTGGCTTGCTTTGCTCCAGCTGGTTTTTCTTAGTTAACAACTTGATTCTTGAAGACTTCTGATTTCTTCGGTTTACTTGAACAGTTAGGTGAGAAGGAAATTGCTTGATCATTCTCACCTCGAAACTCTACCATCCTCAGACGTTTATCACAAGAATTAGAATTCAAATTAAAAAAAAACTCTCTTAAGGTGGTTCCACCAAGAGTAGGAATATATTGGCAATAATAAGGAGTAACCCAGCCCTGATATAAGGGAGGGAGAGTGCTTCTTAAAAATAAGATTGATATTTGGATAAACGAATTGTGACGCTAAGTCATGTTTCATGTTTAACTAGTCCCCTGTGGGATTCTCTCACTTTCGGCAGAGCCCAACCACACCAAAGCAGTTCAAAGAATCTGACCCCATTTCACCACCAAGCCCCTGACATTTCCAAGGTCTAAATAAAAATCAAACACTCTCCTTTTCCCAGTCCCTTACCCCCACCCCAAAATAGTTCAAACACCTAGAATGGATCATTTAAAGGTTTTTTAAGGAGCGTAATTTCAGGGAGACACACCATCCACAGCCACTCCCCACATTCCCATGACTGCGGCCTGTGCCACAGAAGGAGGAGATTACATTTACGCTCCATGGAAAGATGAGCCCTGTCTTATTTCTTTGTGCCCAGCCTTCAGGGAGGCGTGTCAGCCCTGTTTGTCCCTGCCCTGCCCTCTGCAACCAAGGATGTCCTACCCTGGCCATGGATAAGAAGGTCCCTCAGAGCAAATGGGACCCATGATTTTGTGTTCTCAGCAAGTCACCAGGGTGTGCCGACAGCCTTCCTTCCCTCTTCACATTGTTTTTCTTTATAACATGAGTAAAATGTAAGAACACATCAAGGGTATTAGTCGGAGAACTTTCTAGACAAAGGGATCCTAAAGTGACTGCATGGTCAAACAAGAAAACCAAAAAGTGAGGGTAGTGTAGTGCATTCAGTTCCTCTCCATTCTGTCTGTAGAACTGGAGAAATCTCTTCGTATAGAACCATCAATGGAAAAAAAGTCCGTGTGGAACCGGAGCACTTGTGTCGATTCAACAAATATGTTTAAAACACTTGCTCTACATCAGGCGCTGTGCTAGATGCTAGAGATACATCGACCTCAAACCTGCCCTCCTGGAAATCGTGTTCCAGCAGCTCAGAGATTTCGTAGAAGATTGTCCCATAATATCTGGGAGGCTGAGCAACACTGTCAGACGCAGCAGGGCTGTGGGCTCATCCAGCCCTCAGATGTTCCCGGGAGTGCTGAGAAAGGGAAAGACCAGCCAGAAGCTTCCTGAGAAAATTCTTACCTGGGACAACTCGAGAAAATCTGCAGAGCTGCACCTGTTTCCCTCTGCCCTGCCAACCAGGGAGACAAGATTGAATTGGAGAGAGCAGATGTGAGGGACTCCAGAGAAGCTGATAGCTCAGCTTCAGCAGCAGCCCTGGGCGTTACTGCAGCCCTGGGCGAAACTGCAGAGCAGGTGAACTTGGTTTTGCAACCGTCCCAGCTTTGGCCTCATTATCAATTTTCCAGACACTACACGCACTTAAGCTGCCTTAAATCTGCCCCAAACCCTCCAATAAGCCTAGACATGCCATCAGACTAGTGTCTGATTAAAAATGCAAATGAGGTTTAACCTCAGGGATGCATCAACAACCCCTAGCCAGTCCTCCGCGGAGACAGGCAGAAGAGGTGTAATGGAAAAAGCCTGGGGTTGGGGCCAGGCAGACCTGCTTCTCCACCTGAGTTCCGGCACTTACTGCGTTGTGACCGTAGGCGAGTTACGTCACCTCTTTTCAGCCTCGGTGTTCTTGGCCGTTAACTGTAGATAATAATGCTGCCCAGATACATTTTGGGAGAGATTAAAATACAAACAAGCTCTTCATTTCTTGTGCCATCTTTCCTCACCTTGGAAGGGAACCTACAGAGCTCAGCAAACAGAAGTTAAACAGGCACTGGCAGAGCCCCAAGCTGCATAGGGGGCCCTCCTGGGCTCGCTGCTGTTGCTCGCCGGGAGGTGGGAGAGGGGTTGTGAGGCACCGTGCACAGATCCAGGGAAGCACCTTAGCAGGAGCCAGGCCTCTGGGCCAAGCGTGTGGAGGAGCCATCAGTACCATAACCCCCCCTAAGAAAGAGGCTGAAAAGCGTCTTCTTAACTGCTTCAAAAAGCTCTGGGTTCTAAATAGTCTGTCCTAGAAATTATGAAGAGAAGAAAGATTGGACTTGGCTTTATTTATACAGGTGATGTCACTGGGATGCGCAGCCTCTTACCTGGCATTACCCGAGAGCCAGCCTGCACCACCGCTTCCTATATAGAGGAAAGGCCCTGACCCACATCCAACCGTGACTCCCACTGTCAGGCAGCCCGAAATCGGTTCCAGCTCAGCCTGGTTCTCCCCACCGTGCGATGAGCTTTTGCCTGCCTGTCTCTGAGCCATTCATCCTGCTCCTCCCTCCACCTAGAAAGCCCTCCTTTCATGTTCGCCCTTCAGCCTTCCCCACACACCCACATTCCAGCTCAAACGGGCCCTTCTCTGGTCAGGGGGAGGCAATAGAAGCCGCGCCCAGGGTCTGTGTCCAGGGCCCAGGGGTCGGCCGGGACCAGCCTCTCAGCGGAACACTGCAGCCTCTGGCTCTCAGTCAGGCTGCCTTTAGAATCAATCCAAGAGCTTTCAAAAACATATAGAGCCCAGATCCCAACCCAAACCTACTAAATCAGGACACTTTGGGGGCAGGGGTTGCCAGGGCATTATATTTTTTAAAGGCTCCACCTTGGATTTTAAGGTACAGCCCTAATTTAAAAACACTGCTCTCAGGTAAGGACTATTCTACATAACAGAAACTGGATACCATGTTATTACTTCAAAGTCTCTACAAATAGAACTAATGGAAAATCAGACAAAAAGCAGTAGTTGGACAACCTGACCGTTTACAAATCAAAGGGGCCAGGTAATAAGTAGCTTGGGATGTTCAAAGACCTGGGTAAGAAACCAGTGAAAGGTTTCATTATTTCTGAGAATTTATTGGCAAGCGGAGGGGTGGAAGGGAGTGGAAACTAAAATGTCTGGCCGTTTGTCTTGAACTAAACCAGCACCTGTAGGTCTGTAATTAACAAAGCAGGGACAGTTGTGGGGAAAACATGATCTGTAAATATATCTAGGACAGTGGAATTCTCAAGCACTAAGCAGAAAGTCTCGCTTAAGGACAAAGAATGCAAAACAACTCAGTATCTTGGTCTTTGTTTTGGAAAGGGCAAGCACATGACGAGAGAAAGGAAACACAGCAGAGGTCGTGATTTTGGACTGGAGTTGCAGCAGTTTATACAGCAAGTCATGAAATTTTAATTGCTAACGTGGTTCAAATTGGCAGAGAGAGCAAGTCCCGTGGGTTGAATACTAAGAAAAGATTATGAAGGAAAGGTGAGGCTCTCTGGCAAGAAGGGGTGCTGAGCAGGGTGCCTTTGGGTCAGTGCTTTCCCACTTTAGATTTAATTTTGCATTCTAATTAGCAAAGTGGAAGAGAGAACAAAAGACACCCCACCCCAAGAAATCTAAGGCAGACTTGCAAAGGGGAGTGTTGGCAAACCCCAAGGAGCGGAGCAGATTGAGGTGGATGAGCCCACAAGGTTTAACCGAGCAGAAAGCAGAGAGTATTTATAAAAAGGCAAACTAGCTCCTTAGAGGAACACTAATCAGAACCCTTATGCTGCAGAAACAAAAGCACCCAGACCCCCTAAAATGTCTAAGCTAAGAGGGGTAAGAGTGGACAGCGCCCTGGAGAGGAGGTCAGGCTGTGCGGGACCCAGCAAGCCTGCCCCATCCCTCCCAGTCCTGCCCAGCCTTCAGATCAGAACCAGGCCAAGAATGCTCAGTACATGGATTACCAGCTGTAGGTGGTTTCTTTCTAGAAAAACAAAATGTTACAAGAAATGTCTATTAGCCAAATAATTCACTTCAAGATCTTTCCCCCAATCCCTGCCATGCTTTGATCAGCATGTCCAAATAGCCAAAACCTAAAAAGCCTCTGTACTTCTACAGCAGCCTGAAGTAAGGAGACAGAAAAGGGAGGCTGGGTCGTGGGGAGAAAGGCGTTTTCAATAGCCACTGTGTGCTGAATGCCTGCTGTGGGTCTAGCTCCGCATTAGACGCGTAATCCCCAGTGTTCTGTTTAACCGCCACGGCAGAGTTGTGAGGCCGTGGTTTTACCTAGGGCCTAGAGAAGTTAAGCATGCAGTCATCTGTATTTGAATTTGTGTCACTCCAGCCCCACAACCCATGATCTTTCCATCTCTGTGTTGCACAGTCACCCACTGCTTTTTGTAAGAGGGCTCTTCCCACACTTTCTTCCTGGCCTCAGTTCTGCCTCTGGAGCCCTGAAAGCCTCCTTGGACGGTGCTAGCACGCAGGCCTTTTCCCTGTGGCCCAGGCAATCAGCAAGCCATCATATACATAGACGGTTTCCGCCAATCTCATCAGGCCTCTGGCCAGGGGTGGGCGAAGATCCCTTTCTTCTGGGCACGCCCACACGCCCGGGAAACGCTTCACGCAGAATGCTGTGGTTCTGACTTCTAAGGACTCAACCTGTGGCCCAGTGGGTCAAGAATCAGGCAGATTCAGGGGCTGAGAAGGTGCCGCACGGTCGTCAGGCATTCAAAGGGCATGGGGGAGATGCAGCGTCCCTAGAGAAGGACTGGTAGCGGGCAGTTAAGAGGGCAGATGCTGAAGCTAGAGTGTTTGGGTGTAAACCTTGGCTCCAGCACTTTCTATGTGAGTTTGAGCAACTCTCTCTGACTCAGTTTCCTCATAAGTAAAATGAGGGTACAGCACTTTGAAATGTTGGATGAATGCTAAATAACAAATAATGTGGTAGAGACAGATTCCAGAAGCCTCAAAACGCATTCTCAATGTCCTAGCTGAAGATTTCTCATTTGCTGCCTTACCTCGTTTACCTCTCCAGGGATGATCCCTCCTTTCTCCTGTCTTGTGTAGACAATACCTCTCTGAAGTTGTTCTGGCAACTACTTATCCTAAGTAAGATGGGAATAACAAACAA